TCTGGCTGAGAACAAACAGCACGAGGAAACATCTGAGGTGTAAAGCCTGGTTTATGCTCAGAAACCAGGTCGTCTGTGTGTGTGTCGCAGTTAACGCAGATATAACCCCCGCAGGTGACCGCAGACAGCAGGCCTCTGATTGGTCAAATCTCACCTGCTCTACACTGGGCCGGATCTATCAAAGGTTTGCGTGTATAAAAACGTGAGCTATTTCACTGTGCACGCTAAAAAATGTCCAAACTGATCTATCACCAGCGTGCTAAAAGGATTTGGTCTTTAAAACGTGCTAAATAGCGCCTCTTATCCATTTAGTACTTTTTCTGCAATGAATATGCAATATGGGGCGTTTACACGCAAAAGTGCGTCTTGTGGGAGGAGAACATGTAAATATATTAATTTAGCACTCGCAAAGTGATTTATTAAACCTGAAAGCAATTTTGCTAACGGTATCTGACTCTATATTTAACACGTTTCAAAAGAAGGTGCAAATGGTCTGTATGCGTAATTGCGCACACATGGCAGCGGTTATTGTCGCAAGAAGGAGACATGGAAATGAAGCAAGGAGACGCAGAGAACGCATTTTTTCACTCCGTGTGAATATTTTTGCAATGAACGAGGAAACGATCATCAAAACATATCGTTTATCCAGCATTGCCATTTTGGAGCTGTTGGGGGAACTCCGAATGGATTTGGAGCCAGCCACAAGGAGGACCCACGCAATACCAGATATCACTAAACTCCTTGCAACATTGCACTTTTTTGCATCTGGGTCATTCCAGCGTACGGTTGCAGCGAGAGCTGGGATCTCCCAATCTCGTTTTTTCAGAAGTGCTGTCCGACGGGGTCGGGGTTCTCCCCCCTGCGCCTGTGGAGCAACATGCCAATGCTGCGGGGATGCGTACGCGCAGTAATCTCATCCACAGTCACTTCTTGTGAGCCATTTGGTATGTGCATTTTTCTACAGGCCAATACAAAACACCTGTTTTTTTTTTTTTTTTTTTTACTCTAGTGAAGTAGAAATTCAGCCACATACCACCTTAGGGAATAAAGGTTGCCAAAGTTTTTTCTTTATATATATATATATATATATATATATATATATATATATATATATATATATATATATGTTAGGGGTCACTGTAAGATTTAAATTTCTTAATGCACTAGTTTGTACAAACTACAAACTACTTTGCCGCAAACCACAAAACGCGCAAAACCATCATTTAAATAGGGCGTCTCCAAAAGTTTTGCACCTGCCACCAGTTACGCAATCGCTCTTGTTAAATCACCCGCAAAACATGGTTCAGCCCCTCGCGCAAAATTCCAGTTTGCGAGCGCAAATTACTGCACGCAAAATTGGATCTTGATAAATCTGGCCCACTATGCGTATTTCCTGTTTGGTACCTAATGGCAGAAACTCTACCTGTAGTGCCGTCTGCAACGCCTGGCTCACCTCAGACTCTATCCCAGACACCGTGCAAGACGCTAGTTTGTAGCTCTGAGCGACGGTCTGTTGGTTTGCATCCGAAGACGAAACACGCAGCGCCACGGCCAGTCTATGGGGAACACTCACGGGTAAACTGTGTGTCGTCTGGCGTTGGATTAGGCGTTGCAGAAGGCGAACAAGCTCGTCAAACCGACATACGGACACCCACAATCCTAGCTAGTTCCTGATTGTCCCTCTTGCGTTGTGGCGTGGAACAACATAGCGCAGAGCATGCTTCAAAATTGGGCATAAATCAAAAATATGTGCGTAATAGCTGCGACAAGCTAACTGCGATTCACCGCTGCCTGAGGATAAGCAGCCCTTAAGAGGGACACTTTGGGTCTGAGGAGGGCAGGATGTCCGTTAAACAGTCCATGAGCCCAAACTGAGGGGCAGCGACCCCTAATGGTTTAGACCAGGGGTCTTCAACGTTTTCAAAGCCAAGGACCCCCAAACTGATGGCGAGATGGAGCGGGGACCCCCTAATTATATTTATTGTATTAAATAGTGTTCTATCAAACTGGTCCTATAGTCACTCTATTACAGATGGATTAATGTAACTAAAGTAATCCCTCCCTGGGATTATTAAAGTATTTCTGAATCTGATTCCTGGTTGATGGGACAGGTGTTGTGAATGAAACGGTGCCCAGCTTGAAAGAGCTCCTGTGTGTCTCTGAATGTGAGCATTGAAGACTGAAAGACATCTTCTGCCTCCATTTATCTGTTTACTACAGTCTGTTGAATTCATGTTAATGTGTACTTAAAGACATTTTAATTAGTGCAAAAAATTGCAGGAGGGAATATAAAAAAAAGTAATCAACCAAGACTTTCACGACCCCCATGCAGTACCTCCGCGGACCTCCTAGGGGTCGCAGACCCCCTGTTGAAGACCTCTGGTTTAGACCCTTATCCTCTCTCAGAGGAGGCTGATCCCCTCCATAAAGGCCAGACTCTAGAATCCACCGTTATATCCTGGTCTTATGGCTCCTTGGGTGTAATTTTATAAAGTTATGTCCGACCCACAGCCGGGACATCAGTACTCCCCTCTGTCCAGCCACAGTTACATGAGCACAGAGCGGAACCAATGCGCCCCCAATGCACTATGGGTAGGAGGCCCCCAGACTCCATCTCATTCATTTGAACATTTCCCAGCAGCCCTGCTGTTAGAAAGAGCAGCAGGCGTTCAGGGAGACTCAGTCGTAGTTAAACAGGAGGTCAGCAGCCTCATGATCCTCTGAATGCTGTCAACATTACACACATTGTTCAGCTCTGCCTGTCTTAATCTAATTTATTCTTAGTTTACCAGCACATGTTCAGCGATGCAAGGCATTAAGGAACCATTTAAAAAGCAGCTCCACCAGCTCATGGTTTTCATCAAGACTTTTTTACTTGAACAACACGTTTGTTATCCGTTCAGAGACCTGGAGCCGTGAGTTCTCATCCTCACCCCCACCGAGCAAAATCGGTTGAAAAGACGACATGATTTATGTCCAAACAACGTCTACGTTTGGTTGGAAAGTGAAAAGATGGAAACCATAATATTCAGATCGTCTATTATTGGACTAAAGTGGGACACAATTAGACTGACCAAAACAGCAAATTTTTTCAACAAGTATTTCTGTACCCTCCGACGGAGGGCGGGGGTGGGGCTGCTTGTCTCCCCTCAGCTCAGCCGTCTCGTGTTGGAGTTCACCCCGGTAGATGAGAGAAATAACTAGGGTAAAAAAATACAAAGGAAGAATAAAACAGACAAAAATATTATAACATGCACATAAATAAATACTTAGAAATATAAGTAATATTACAAAGGCAAATAAATAAAGAAGCTAATTAAAAGAGTATATCGCTGTATAATTTAATTTCTACTTACATTTGTTTGTGGTAATTAATTGTATGCTGATTTATTTGTTGAGAATTTATTTATTTCTGTATTTATTTTTTAAATATGGCAGAGTTGGTCCTCCATATAAATGGGCCATATAGTGATGCTTAAAGTATAATGTTCTTGCCTTATATGATCTTAAAACTAGGGATGCACGATATAATTGGCCTCCTATCGGTATCGGCCTTAAAACTGAATATCGGACATCGGCCACCCCACCGATATTTAACCCGATATTTGATCAGCTTCTGAGTTTCTAAAGTCTAAAATAAATAATAAAATACTACTTCTTCTTCTTCCTCAAAAACTTCTTTTTTACAGACTTAAAAACTTCTAAAGACGAGGGAAAAAATATTGATCCATTAAAATATCACAATATCTTCATATGCTGATATATTGCCATTTAAAAACACCATATCAATCTCTTTTACTAATGAAATATTGCTATATGTCATCGTTATGATACGAAATCCCCCGAAAATTCACAAAATTTTGCCATATTTTTATATGTTGATATATTGACGCGGTATCGACCTATTTTACTAACAAAATCTCACAAGAATTTGTAACAGAATAATGAAATTTCACCAGATTTTGAAAGTAAAATAGATCGATACCGCGTTTTTAAAAATCTATTTGATATCAGCATATGAAAATATATTTGAGTATATTATTTTTCAAAGTGTCAGAAATGGATAACAAAACTGCTATTTTCAATGACTACTTATTTTTGTCCAGCTTTAACATCGGTATCGATATCGGTTATCGGCTACGTGAGTTTTAAAATATCGGCATATTGGATATCGGCCAAAATCCCAATATCGTGCATCCCTACTTAAAACGTACTTTTATTGAACAACCGCAACAGAAAAGATAACTTTTAACTTAACACTCTGAGCTCTGTGAGCGCTAGCCTGGAAGCTGCTGCTGCCGCAGTGCATGCTGGGACAGCTGTCAGTCTAAAGAACGGACGGGTCTGCTCTGATGCATGCTGGGTAAAGAGGGAGGGGCCAGAACAACATCCGGGGACTTTGTCCGTTCTCGGTCTTCTTGTTCTTGTGAATTGGAACAGTGCTAGGGATGAGGCTAATGACATCTCACGAGCACATAAGAACGCACAAGTACACATATTGAGAAACGGCCACAGATTCTCTTTCTCGTCTCTGTCATTGTTAACTTTGGCTTTTCATCTCACTGATCCCATTTGGAAACTGTCTCCCATTGTAATCTGGTGGGATCGCTTACAGTTTATCCTCCCAGTATTTTACATGATCTGGTGATCAGCATAGTTCTGCATATTCATGATGAAAACACCAGTTCTAACTGCGTACTGGTAAGTACATCAGCTTTGTGCTCACTATCTGGTTTTATTCATGCAGACCTTTGCTTTGCCTCTTTGCTTCTGAAACGAGCCTTTTGGGATTTAAAAAAAAAAATCTTCTTTTTCTCCTTTTAACTGTAAAGTGTCTGTGGAGTCCAGGTGTGGGTTTAAAGCTGTTTAAATTAAATCAAAGTCAGTATTAAGATTTCTGTTAAACCATTGTTTCTCATAGAAATGATCCATTTCCGCTGCTAGCTTACATGGTCTAGTGAGATGTTGCTGTGGAGTTAGCTGTGGGTTTGTTTCTGCAGGGATCATAGAGCGAGCGGGGGGGTCAATGGAGGAGCAGATGGGGCCGCTCCGCTGCTCTCAGCCCTCGGCGACGGGGGAATTCTGTCTGAGCGATGCTATGTATTTCTGCAAGAAGGGTCTGGAGAGCATTGTGGATGACCAGGTGACGCAGCGGTTCTCCTCTGAGGAGCTGGCCTCCTGGAACCTCCTGACCCGCACCAACCAGAACTTCTACTACATCAGCCTCCGCCTCACCATCATCTGGGGCCTGGGAGTCTTTGTGCGATACTGCATCCTCTTCCCCCTCAGGTCAGTGTGACACAGATCAGCCTCCAGAGATTCCAGCCTCAAGGCCGCTGTTCTGTCAGACCAGCATACCCATAGTCAATACATGTTTATCCTTTTAGTTTGATTTTATTCTATTCAGTTTATTTCTATAGCTCCAATTCACATCATGTCATCTCAGGTCACTTTCCAGTTCACCAGATCATCCAGTCAGATTGATTCAAAGTTTTCTATCTAAGGAAAACCAGCTGATTGCATCGACTCATTGACTCTTCAGCAATCCCTCACACTAAGCATGCTTGTAGCGACAGTGGAGAGGAAAAACTCCCTTTGAACAGGAAGAAACCTCCAGCAGAACCAGGCTCAGTGTGAGCGGCCATCTGCTGAGGCCCACTGGGGTTCAAGGAGACAGAAGCAGACATAGAAAAAGAAGCATAGATACAAAAGGCAACTGTCAACCAGCTCCACAGGCGGCCCCGTCCAGGAAACACACAGCCAGGCAGACGAGCTCCGAGCCAGCTCCCATGTCAGAGGATGAAGAGAGCACTTCCAGTTAGTCACAGTCAGAGAAACAGGACTACACTGGAAAACAGGCCAAGCTCCAACATCTAGAAACAAAGGTGTTGATGGCAGCAGCACAGCTGATATTTCTCTCCAGGATGGAGTCACAGCCAAACAGGAACAGACCAGATGAAGCTACTATGAGAAAAAGCAGAGAGAGCAGAACGTTAGAGATTGAACTAACAGATTCTGCAGAGTGGGAGAATAGAGATAGAATGAAGCAGAATGATGAAAAAGGGGTCCCTATGTCCTCCAGCAGTCTAAGACTATAGCAGCAGAACTATAGAGATAGCTAACTAACAGATTCTGCATTCTGTTTATCCCTTTAGTTTTGCACAAAAAACAAACTTTAAACTACCTCAACGGGCGTGTATCCCTTTAGTTATGAACAACAACAAATTTTTTTTATTTATTTTGAATTCAAAAAACTCAAAACTCTAATTTTTTTTAATTTTTTAAATTGAAATATTTTTTTTGTACATGACTAAGGGGATAAATACCAACGTATTGCGCATGCGGATTGACTATGGGTATCTGACAGAACACCATCTTCCTCTTCTGTTCTAAAGCTTTATATCAGATTGAGCATGCTCTGGACTCCCGGTTATAAGAACTCCTTTTGCAGGGGGGTATTTACCATTAGGCAATACTAGGCAGTTGCTTAGGGCCCCAGGTTCTTGGGGGCCCCATAAAACTCTGTTTCAATGTATAGTTAATACAGCTATTCCTAATTAGTGCGCAATAATAATGTTTTTGATTAAAAATCCTTTCACCAAAAAGCCATCACAACGCTAATAATATTAAGTTCCCCCACCCCCCTCCCCCCTTCAGTGTCCACCATATTGGATCAGTCCATTTGCTGCACATGTGCTGCAAAAACTCAAAAAAAAAGAGAAAAGGTCCACACAAACATATCAGCAAACCATTTGGAAATGGTACGAAGAGCAGTGTTGCCAACTTAGCGCTTTAGTCGCTATATTTAGCCACTTTTCAGACCCCTCTAGCACTTTGATTTCTAAAAAGCTCCTAGCGCCAAATCTAGAGACTTTTTCCTGCTACTGGAGACTTTGGAGACAACATCTAAAAGCAGCGAACTCTGCTCTCCAGAGCGAGTAGATTGGTAACCCCGCCTCCTGCTCTCCTCTATCTTGTCTGCTGTCATGATTCATGCAGCTATTATTTCATCCAAATGAAAAATGGAGAACAGATAAGCAGATCATGGCTTGTCTACAGTGAAAAGAAGGACTGGGTTATTTACTTTGGCCTTTTTGGAAACACAGGAAGGAGAGGAAAACAACAAGAAAAGGGAGAAGAAGAAAGGGACAAAAAGTAGAACAAATAATGGATGTCTATTTCTCTACCTGTATAATGGGTCTGTTCTATGTGTTGTCTTCTCATTTCACAGGGCCCCTGGCTGTTTTTGCCTAGGGCCCCAAATGTCCTAAATCCGCCCCTGTCCTTTTGGTTTCTCGTTAAACCAAATGTCCAAGCAGACTCTGTGTTTTTTGTCCAGGATTGCTCTGGCTGCTATCGGCCTCTCCTGGCTCGTTGTGGGAACATCTGTGGTTGGATTTCTGCCAGAGAGCAGGTAAAACACAAACACAGGAGGTCAGATTAAAAACACTTCAGCTGATTTGATTTAATGCAATCCACCAACACAAAGCAGCATTAGGGCATTGTTGGGAGTTTGCAAATGTGCTAAAAGATAAAAAAGAAAACAGCAGTTGATTTTGAGGGAGGAATAAATTTAACCTTTGCTGAAACTAGAGCTGACCCTCAGGCTGCTTGCATTTATTCATTTGATGTGTTTTTGTCACTTTATTAGTATTTCTATGTATTTATTGAGCATTTATTTTTTAGCTTTATATTGAGCAGCCCTGTCCTGCTGTCAGAATGAACTTTGACCCCTTCCTGTTTGTATCTCTGTGCTCCTCAGAGCAAAGAACTGGCTGAGTGAGCTGGTCCACCTCACCTGCTACCGGATCTGTGCCAGAGGACTCTCTGCTACCGTCCACTACCACAACAAGTCCGTCCCATTCTGGCTTCAGCCTGCAGCTCTTTGCCGCTCTTTCTATTGGATGCTACTTTCTATTGAAATTATCCGCTCAACATGTTCAACCTAGAGTTTAAAAGATCAAATTAATTCTACTTTTAAACTAAATGGTAGACTGAAAGAAAGTATTAGACTAGCTCCATCTTTTTACCCTCCGTTTGTCGGGTTTTCATCCATTTTCTCCTGCTTAATCCTGTAAGTCACAGCGGGGCTGGTGCCTTTCCCCGGCAGTCTCAGGACGAAAGGAGGGGGAAACCCTGTAGTACCGGTCACCACTCTGTCACCCAAGGATGCTTTAGAGAAGCCAGTCAACCTAACAGTCATTTGGACTGTGAGAGGAAGCAGGAGTACCCGGAGAGAACCCACGCATGAACAGGGAAAACATGCAAACTCCATGCAGAAAGACCCCGAGCCCCGAATCGAACCCAAAACCTTCTTGCTGCAAGGCAGCAGTGCTTCCCACTACCTCACCGTGCAGAACAATTGGTTTTCAATTCTATTCAGTTTATTTCTATAGCGCCAATTCACATCATGTCATCTCAGGTTATAGAGACGAGTCAACCAGATCATCCAGTCAGATTGGTTCAAAGTTTTCTATCTAAGGAAAACCAGCTGATTGCATCGACTCATTGACTCTTCAGCAATCCCTCACACTAAGCATGCTTGTAGCGACAGTGGAGAGGAAAAACTCCCTTTGAACAGGAAGAAACCTCCAGCAGAACCAGGCTCAGTGTCAGCAGGTTTTGTCCTTTTTTTAAAGACATAACTGCAGAACAATTTTTTTTTTATGTTTTAAGCTAAAGAAAATCTGTCAAAAAAGGGCAAAGTGGAGTTTGTCTGACTGTTTCAATCAAAGTGAGGTTATTTGTGTGCTTTCATCATTATAACTGTCAGGAGAAGCTGATTAACCTCACTGCTGATGTTTCTGCAGAGAAAACAGACCTCAGAAAGGAGGAATATGTGTTGCAAACCACACCACGCCCATCGATGTGGTGATTCTGGCCAACGACGGATGCTACGCCATGGTGAGGCTCTATTCCGGTGAAAACGAGCGAGTCTGCGGGTCCTTTGCTAACCATGCCTTGCCAACAGGTGGGGCAGATCCATGGAGGTCTGCTGGGCGTCATTCAGAGGTCCATGGTGAGGTCCTGCCCCCACGTCTGGTTCGAGAGGTCAGAGATGAAAGACCGGCACACTGTGACCAGCAGGTTAGCTTCCTGACTGCTTATTAAACTAAACGCTAATGAAGATTAGATTTATTTTTACAATAAACAATTATTAAAGGAGACAAACATGGTTGCAGCGAAACCATCAAAAGAAATAAAAGTAAAATAATAAGTTAAAAACAATCCACTGGACTTTGTTTCCAAGTTTGAAGATGTTTTGCTTCCCATCCAGGAAGCTTTTTCAATTCAACACGTTCCCATTCACGATTCACATTTTTTATTGGAAAAAAAAGAAAAAAAAAAGCAGAAAAAAAGAATCTGATTCTATTGTGAGAACGGCATTCATACAACTTCAGTGTCCCTCATACGCAGTAGAGGACGCGATGACGTCACAAGCAAGCGTGCTCTATGTTTATGGAAATAAACATGGATGGTAGCGCAAACTTTAATTTATTTCCCCAACCTCAGCCAGGTAATGAAAAACACAATCTTTTTTCCCCATCAATATTTTTATTGTATTTTGTGCAGATATTCCTGCCATATAACCAGAGATGGCAAAAGTACTCACTTTCCGTACTTGAGTAAAAGTACAGATACTTGTGTTAAAAAATACTCTGGTAAAAGTGGAAGTACTGATTAAACTTCTTTACTCAAGTAAAAGTAACAAAGTACAGGCTTGTAAATTTACTTAAAGTATAAAAGTAAAAGTAGAAACCACTTTTTTCATGCCGTTGCCTACATTTTAAATGGATGTCTGCCAATAGGACTAGATCTCCGTTGTGTTCATTTTCAATCATCTCGTCGTCCATGCTACTATGCTAACGCCACCGCCACCAAGCTGCAATGATTTGCCGCCAATGAATACCGCCGAATCTGTCGATTCATCTTGTAGCGGTGCGTCAAATGCAACGTAGATTCCCATCCAATTAGATTGAATTTGGTATTGATGACGTGAAAAATAATAACGGTAACTCCATTGAAATGATTCAAAACTAAAGTAACGAGCCAATTTTTTTAAATGTAAGGAGTAGAAAGTACAGATATTTGTGTAAAAATGTAAGGAGTAGAAGTAAAAAGTCGAAGTATTTGTACTTCGTTACTTCCCATCTCTGCATATAACCAATACAGTCAACAAGACCAACCAATGCCCTCTTGGATACACATCTGCATAATTTCCTTTAAATATTCAGGAGGTAATAGTCCACTGCTGAGGCTCCCTTGTTTAACTTTATCGTCTGACATTAATCTTGTGTTTCGCTGGCTTCTGCGTCTTGAGACAAGTTTACTCAAAATCCCAGCAGGGTCTCTAAAGAGTTTCACATAGTTTGTTTTTCCCTTTTTGGAGATATATGATGCGTTCAATATTCTGGTGTTTAATACATGGTCCAGTTTTTCTCTTCCAGAATAGTTCTATCAACCTTTTAGCTTCTAGTAGACACATATCTATCAATAGTTGTTCACATTTGGTAAACAAACTATTTTTTGGATATAGACCCAAAATTAGAAAAACCGGATTTTGTGCAACATCCTTTCAGACAAGATGTTTTACAGTTTATTTTATTGCTTTCCAAAGTTTTGGAATTTCCCTGCATTCCCTGATACAAAGAAAAAAAGTCCCTTTTTCTTCTAAACATTTATGGTATATCATGGTTGATTGGTGTAATATAGATTCACGTTTATTTTTATTGCAGTAACCTTAAGCAAGAGTTAACAGTTTGTTTCTGAGCCTTTGCACAGACAATCCTCCAGTGACAGGTTTACTCCCAGCTCTAATTTCCAGGCTTCCAGTTTCAGTGTTGAATGAGAGAAATATCAGCTGTGCTGCTGCCATCAACACCTTTGTTTCTAGATGTTGGAGCTTGGCCTGTTTTCCAGTGTAGTCCTGTTTCTCTGACTGTGACTAACTGGATGTGCTCTCTTCATCCTCTGACATGGGAGCTGGCTCGGAGCTCGTCTGCCTGGCTGTGTGTTTCCTGGACGGGGCCGCCTGTGGAGCTGGTTGACAGTTGCCTTTTGTATCTATGCTTCTTTTTCTATGTCTGCTTCTGTCTCCTTGAACCCCAGTGGGCCTCAGCAGATGGCCGCTCACACTGACCATGGTTCTGCTGGAGGTTTCTTCCTGTTCAAAGGGAGTTTTTCCTCTCCACTGTCGCTACAAGCATGCTTAGTGTGAGGGATTGCTGAAGAGTCAATGAGTCGATGCAATCAGCTGGTTTTCCCTAAATAGAAAACTTGCAATCTGTCTGTCACTGGATGATCTGGTGAACTGTAGAGAGACCTGAGATGACATGTGTTGAATTGGAGCTATAGAAATAAACTGAATTCAAACTGAATTAATAATGAAGGTTTAGCTGTATTTATATTACCCTGTAATATGACCATATTCCTCTATTAAATTAAGCAAATTTGGAATAGATTACTTTAAGTTTGAAATGATCAGGATTGTGTCATCTGCATATAATGAAAGTTTTTGTTCTTATTGTCTAATTGTACTGCCTGCTGTAGATGTATGGGACCTTACAGCTATAGCTAGAGGCTCCAATGCTAAAGTGAATAACACCAGGGATAAAAAGACAATCCTTGTTTAATAACAGTTTGTTTAGATATATTTTATTTGTTAATATTTCTCCAGTAGGATGTAAATTTTGTCAGGATTTGGTTATGCAGTGTTGACCCAAAAGCAGAGGCAGGAGGGCAGAGGTAAATTTCTTTAGATTTAATTAAAAAGGGAAACTGAAAACAAAGGCAGGTTATCCAAAAATCCAATAATGAAAACGAAGTGCAAACTATCATGAAATCAGGAGTCCAAAAATCCAAAACAATCAAAGATAAAACTAGTCAAAACGAACCAGAAACCATGGAGACATCAGGGGAATCACTGTCACAACGAGGAAGACTCAGGAAGACGGAGTTGGAGGAAGTTTGACAAAGTGAGGCAGTGTTTGACGAGGACCCAGCAAAGAGAGAGGGCTTTTAAAGGAGACTGAGACAAAGAGGGGGCTAATGAGGAAACTGGGAGCAGGTGTGCACAGAACAAGAGAGGGAAAGAGCTAGGGAAGAAGGAGAACACAAGAGGGCAGCAGAGAGCAACAAAAGAGAAACCTGGAAGACTGGAAATAAAAACACAATGTTAAATTACTAAGACTATAAAGCATGAAGAAAAGAAAACTAAACACTCAAAAGAAAACATAACAGAACCCAGACTAGGACAGTAACTGGAAAAAAAACAAAGAACACAGCAAAATAAAAATAAAACCACTAACACTAAAAAACAAGGAGTAAAGCAAGACTGAATACTATAACAGAAACAGAAACCTGACAAATATAATAGGTGTATCCATTTAAAAAAAGTATTTATCAAGATTTGAGACTCCCTCAGTGTCGCTGCTCATTTCAAATCTGGAAAACTCACACAAAGAGAAAAGACAATTAGGAGAAATTTATTGATACAACTACTTTGTCTTTGGGGCTCAGACCTCAGCAGGAAATATAGCGCTGAATTTTGATAGATCTGCATGAACAGGTGCAAAAAAACAGGGCTGATTCCCCCTCAGGCCTGAAACTAGTGGTGGAGTGGAGCTAGATGGAGTTGGTCAGTCTGTAGACTGCTGGTTAGAGAGACGGTCTGCTGGGCTTTATGGGGAGATCCATTGGACTGAGTGAGCTGATACTAGAGCTTCACTCAGGGACCTGGAAGATGGAAGTCCAGTTGGATAACACAGGCTGAGAGAACCTGTCCATGATGAGCAAGCATGAAGCGACAGTGGACAGGAAAAACTCCCCATAGGGAAGAAACCTCTGGCAGAACCAGGCTCAACATGGCGGTCTTCTGCCGGACCGGTTAAGATGAGACGGGTAGGAATGACGCTCTGATGAAGTTTTAGCTCTGAAGGTTGAGGAGGGGCTGCAGGTGGGTGGAAACGGGGTCATCTGAATGAAGTCTCAGCGCATCCGCCGCCTGCGCACAGGAGCAGACAGGTGCGGATGGGAGGCCTTTTAAGATGAGATTTGGATGCCGATTGGCTTTCATGGAGGTGTGGTTCAAAGCTGATTGGCTGTGCCACAGGTCGGATGTATGAATAAACAATTTGTTCCTTCAGTTGAACTTCCATCTAGGCTCCATGTTCTGCTTCCTGCTTTGAACTAACAATCTGCTGATTAGTCAGGCGGCAGGAACAGCATCATGTCCAGCTGTTGGAGCAAATAAGGAATCCCTCTTCTGGATCAGAGGAGAAGGAACCCTAACCTGACAACAGCCAGATGCATGTCTCGCTCCGCCCAGCTCCACTCACATACATCTGGGAACTCGCTCATTGAAAGTGATTTCCCCAACCGAATTTATGGTCTGTCCAATCAGGACGCAGGGTGGGTGTGTCCTGGAGTGGAGAAGCGACCGTGAGATTCCAACAACAATGGCGGCTCGCATTGAGGAAGCAAGCGTTAGCATTGATGCTGCTATTTCTTCTGTGTTGTCCAATCTATCTGATATTGTTTCATTAAAAGAACATCAGAGAACGGCTTTGAAGGCTTTTGTTGGTGGAAACGATGTTTTCGCCCTTCTCCCGACCGGATTTGGCAAGAGCTTGATCTACCAAATGGCTCCTCCTCTCACAGCGTCACGGGTTAGCTTCGGTGTGAGTGGTTGAAATAGCACGTCAATAAAGATGACAGACAAGTGGCTTATCCAATCATATGCAAGGAGTTTTGATAAGGCCCAGCCTTCAGTAAAGGCAATTCCTATGGCGGGTTCCCAGATGTATGTGAGCGGAGCTAGGCGGAGTGAGACATGCATCTGGCTGTTGTCAGGTTAAAGGAACCCAGTGTGAATCCTTAATGAAAGATCAGCCTTTGTTGATGAACTGAAAGCAGTTATTGCTTTATTGTCATGAGGATGACTGGTTTCTTGTTCCTCTCTCTGCAGGCTAAGAGATCACATTGCAGCAAAGACCAAACTTCCCATCCTCATATTTCCTGAAGGTCTGTCTTCCATCATGCTTCATGTGAGGAGGCTCATGATGATATTTGAGGTGACTTTGGTCTTTGTCCCAAACAGGAACGTGTGTCAACAACACCTCTGTCATGATGTTCAAAAAGGGAAGCTTTGAAATCGGAGGAACGATTTATCCTGTTGCCATTAAGGTAAATGTCTTTGAGTAATTGAATACAGGTCTGGTTGTGAGAAGATCTTCAGGTTCAGTTTTAACAACAGCAGGTTAGTTTTCATGTTCAAGTGACTCAGACTGGGCTTTCAGAAGTGTCTGGTTTTATCTCTGTTCCAGTACGACCCTCGATTCGGAGATGCTTTCTGGAACAGCAGTAAATACAACATGGTCAGCTACCTACTGCGCATGATGACCAGCTGGGCCATAGTGGTCAATGTGTGGTATCTTCCTCCTATGACCATACAGGTACGCAGCAAGCTGATATCCCTCTATTTAAACAGGTCAGATTGGCCGTTAGGGACTAAGACCCTCTGAGACTAAGACCCTAAGAGACTGAGACCCTATGAGACTGAGACCCTGAGAGACTGAGACCCTCTGAGACTAAGACCCTAAGAGACTGAGACCCTAAGAGACTAAGACCCTCTGAGACTAAGACCCTGAGAGACTAAGACCCTCAGAGACTAAGACCCTCAGAGACTAAGACCCTAAGAGACTAAGACCCTAAGAGACAAAGAACCTCAGAGACTAAGACCCTAAGAGACTAAGACCCTAAGAGACTAAGACCCTCTGAGACTAAGACCCTGAGAGACTAAGACCCTCTGAGACTAAGACCCTCTGAGACTAAGACCCTGAGAGACTAAGACCCTCTGAGACTAAGACCCTCTGAGACTAAGACCCTAAGAGACTAAGACCCTCTGAGACTAAGACCCTCTGAGACCCTCTAAGAATAAGACCCTCAGAGACTAAGACCCTCAGAGACTAAGACCCTAAGAAACTAAGACCCTCTTAGACTAAGACCCTCAGAGACTAAGACCCTAAGAGACTAAGACCCTAAAACACTAAGAGCCTCTGAGACTAAGACCCTCAGAGACTAAGACCCTAAGAAACTAAGACCCTCCTAGACTAAGACCCTCAGAGACTAAGACCCTAAAACACTAAGAGCCTCTGAGACTAAGACCCTTTGAGACTGAGACCCTAAGAGAATAAGACCCTCTGAGACTAAGAGCCTCTGAGACTAAGACCCTCATAGACTAAGACCCTCAGAGACTAAGACCCTAAGAGACTAAGACCCTAAGACCCTCTGAGACTAAGACCCTCTGAGACTAAGACCCTAAGAGACTAAGACCCTAAGAGACAAAGACCCTCCGAGACTAAGACCCTAAGAGACTAAGACCCTCTGAGACTAAGACCCTAAGAGACAAAGACCCTCAGAGACTAAGACCCTAAGAGAGTAAGACCCTCTGAGACTAAGACCCTCTGAGACTAAGACCCTAAGAGACAAAGACCCTCTGAGACTAAGACCCTAAGAGACTAAGACCCTAAGAGACTAAGACCCTCTGAGACTAAGACCCTCTGAGACTAAGACCCTAAGAGACTAAGACCCTAAGAGACAAAGACCCTCCGAGACTAAGACCCTAAGAGACTAAGACCCTCTGAGACTAAGACCCTCTGAGACTAAGACCCTAAGAGACTAAGACCCTAAGAGACAAAGACCCTCTGAGACTAAGACCCTCTGAGACTAAGACCCTAAGAGACTAAGACCCTAAGAGACAAAGACCCTCAGAGACTAAGACCCTCTGAGACTAAGACCCTCTGAGACTAAGACCCTCTGAAACTAAGACCCTAAGAGACTAAGACCCTAAGAGACAAAGACCCTATGAGACTAAGACCCTAAGAGACAAAGACCCTCAGAGACTAAGACCCTAAGAGACTAAGACCCTAAGAGACTAGGACCCTCTGAGACTGAGACCCTCAGAGACTAAGACCCTCTGAGACTAAGACCCTCAGAGACTAACAGCCAGAGAGACTAGGGTCCTCAGAGACTAAGACCCTGAGAGACTGAGATCCTCAGAGACTCCCTTTGAACAGGAAGAGACCTCCAGCAGAACCAGGCTCAGTGTGAGCGGCCATCTGCTGAGGCCCACTGGGGTTCAAGGAGACAGAAGCAGACATAGAAAAAGAAGCATAGATACAAAAGGCAACTGTCAACCAGCTCCACAGGCGGCCCCGTCCAGGAAACACACAGCCATCAGTTCTTCATAGCTTACTGTTGTCCTTCTCTCGGCTGTTTCAACACTCACTAAACTTTGAGTTTAGCTGCTGGAATGTTGTGGAACATTTCAGGATTTCAGGTGCCGTTATCTGAGCTATAGGAAGCCTTGTCATTCTGGACAAAAAGCATCCTTCTGCATAGTTTGCTCCTGAGTTACTGAGAAATCAGTCCAGGGTTTTAATAATCCAGTCGACCATTTTCAGCAGGTTTTATAGACACAAAGTGAATCCACTTCCTCTATAGCAAAACTTCCTACTGTTGGTATGGTCTTCACCTTTTCCACTCTGTACCAACCAACCTCAAGAGGGTTTCACCCTCAGTGAAGCATTTCCTCTTCAGGTTCCTGACGGTTCTATAAAAGGTTCACCTGGTTCCACGTTTCGAGCTCAACATCCCGGCCTGGGAGGCGGAGCAAAGACAAGATGTTTCCTTGGTTTCTGCAGAAATCAGCACTCACACTTCCTCCTGGAAAGTGGTCGACTTCCAGAAAGGAACAGAGAGGCCATGTTTCAGAAAATCTTCTTGTTTAACAATCAGTCACAGAAACAATTACATGCAATAAATCTGTATGAAACAATGTAAACATTTAGTTGAGTAACTTTTGCTCCACTGATGTCAGTGAGTTTGGCAGATTTTAGGCTGAAGCACATCAACTTGCAGCCTGGTTGTTCTCTAACTTTCTGTTTCTCTTTGTGTGAGCAGGATGGAGAGGATGCAGCTCAGTTTGCCAACAGAGTCAAATCTGCTATTGCTCATCAAGGAGGCCTGCTGGACCTTGCATGGTGAGGACCCACCCTCACCTTAGGTTACAGTCTCAACTCTGATTTAAAGTGGTGATAGAATGATTCTATAGGGTACCTGGTCCTTCAGGTCTCTAATAGGGTGATAGAATGATTCTATAGGGTATCTGGTCCTTCAGGTCTCTAATAGGGTGATAGAATGATTCTATAGGGTATCTGGTCCTTCAGGTCTCTAATAGGGTGATAGAATGATTCTATAGGGTGTCTGGTCCTTCAGGTCTCTAATAGGGTGATAGAATGATTCTATAGGGTATCTGGTCCTTCAGGTCTCTAATAGGGTGGTAGAATGATTCTATAGGGTATCTGGTCCTTCAGGTCTCTAATAGGGTGATAGAATGATTCTATAGGGTATCTGGTCCTTCAGGTCTCTAATAGGGTGATAGAATGATTCTATAGGGTATCTGGTCCTTCAGGTCTCTAATAGGGTGATAGAATGATTCTATAGGGTATCTGGTCCTTCAGGTCTCTAATAGGGTGATAGAATGATTCTATAGGGTATCTGGTCCTTCAGGTCTCTAATAGGGTGATAGAATGATTCTATAGGGTATCTGGTCCTTCAGGTCTCTAATAGGGTGATAGAATGATTCTATAGGGCATCTGGTCCTTCAGGTCTCTAATAGGGTGATAGAATGATTCTATAGGGTATCTGGTCCTTCAGGTCTCTAATAGTGTGATAGAATGATTCTATAGGGTATCTGGTCCTTCAGGTCTCTAATAGGGTGATAGAATGATTCTATAGGGCATCTGGTCCTTCAGGTCTCTAATAGGGTGATAGAATGATTCTATAGGGTATCTGGTCCTTCAGGTCTCTAATAGGGTGATAGAATGATTCTATAGGGTATCTGGTCCTTCAGGTCTCTAATAGGGTGATAGAATGATTCTATAGGGTATCTGGTCCTTCAGGTCTCTAATAGGGTGATAGAATGATTCTATAGGGTATCTGGTCCTTCAGGTCTCTAATAGGGTGATAGAATGATTCTATAGGGTATCTGGTCCTTCAGGTCTCTAATAGGGTGATAGAATGATTCTATAGGGTATCCGGTCCTTCGGGTCTCTAATAGGGTGATAGAATGATTCTATAGGGTATCTGGTCCTTCAGGTCTCTAATAGGGTGATAGAATGATTCTATAGGGTATCTGGTCCTTCAGGTCTCTAATAGGGTGATAGAATGATTCTATAGGGCATCTGGTCCTTCAGGTCTCTAATAGGGTGATAGAATGATTCTATAGGGTGTCTGGTCCTTCAGGTCTCTAATAGGGTGATAGAATGATTCTATAGGGTATCTGGTCCTTCAGGTCTCTAATAGGGTGATAGAATGATTCTATAGGGTATCTGGTCCTTCAGGTCTCTAATAGGGTGATAGAATGATTCTATAGGGTATCTGGTCCTTCAGGTCTCTAATAGGGTGATAGAATGATTCTATAGGGTATCTGGTCCTTCAGGTCTCTAATAGGGTGATAGAATGATTCTATAGGGTATCTGGTCCTTCAGGTCTCTAATAGGGTGATAGAATGATTCTATAGGGTATCTGGTCCTTCAGGTCTCTAATAGGGTGTGTAACATTGGTTGGGCTGAAAATGGCATATTAGCTGTTCTATGACCCCTAATGCAGCCTGGTTAAAAGCCCTAGAGTGAAACCACAGCTTTTCCTCATTTTACGGTATGATCATGAATATTTAGCTGAGCTGTGCTCTGATTGGTTGGTTTACAACGAGCGACGCTGCTGAGCAAAGACGCATCATAGCAACAAGCACTCACTCACTGAAACATCCGATTGTTGATATGGTAGGGGGACCAGACGTCCAGGACATGTCCGACTTTTCATACCTAAAAAAATGTCGGGGGGGAATTTCATAATCGTCCAGGATTTTGGTCGACTCCAGTGCAGCAGAACCGAGCCGTCAGCTCCGGGGCCGGTCCGGGAACCCCGGCAGACGGGGGCACGGAGCCTGGACAACGGCGGCCCCTGGACAATGTAGCAAATCCTGCTTTGAACTGTCCAAGATTTTAAAACCTGTCTTTGGTAAAATGCTTCGAGCAAATGAACAGCTGAGCATCAAACTTTGCAGGGATCTTCTGATAAACAAAATTAACGCACGCCTGTCAAGTCTTCGGATCCTTGGGAAGGCTGTGAAAATGTTCCCCTTCCTCCGGTCAGCCTGGAACGCTGCATTTCCACCCGTGGTTCTGGTTCATTTTCAATAGAGAAACTTCCTGCTTTGTAATTCTTGTAGAGGTAAACCCAACTGTAGGCTAAACAGCTAAACTGCTGTCTTCCATCCACCTCTATTCATGTTTTTGGGCCGTGAACCAGTGGGCTGGTCTGGATGTACATTTTGGGGCGTCACAAAAGTCCAGGCCAGAACCAAATAAGGCAACATCCCCGAGTTTAAGTCAACTTGGGGCTTCATTTGGATTCCCTGTTTTATGGTGGAACTTTAGAATAGTGAGACTTGCAGAGAAAGGAGGTGTTGATGGGGTATGATCTTCTCTGTACGTCTATTTCACCCCCTGAACTATCGTTATTCATCTATGACAATGGAAACTCTGTTTTACATTCTATCACCCCTTTAAATGCTTCGCAACATTCATGGGAATCAGAAGCTCTTTGTTTTTCTTTCCTCTGTTTAAACTCGGTTTGGGGGCTATCCCCCGGCGGCGCCGCAGTGATTCCAAGTCATTAAAAAGACGTAAACCTCTCACCGGCTGCTGAGCTGTCCGGCTGCGGTTACCGAGACACTCCGGCGCTGCAGAAAATTCCGCAAGAAAGCTATCCTTGCGGTGTGCCGGAGCCCTCCGCAACAAGCTCTCGCAAATATCCTTATTTAGGCCGTGTTATCGCGTGAAGTTACGTGAACTCAAGTGAACTTCTGTTCTTGCGAGTTAAATCTCCGCACCGCACCGTAGTCAAAAGGGCGGTGTGAGAGGGGGTGTGCGGGAGTTGCGGTCTCCGTCGGCTCGGTAACCGCTGGAGCCAGTGTGAGCAAGGGGTAAGCCTTTCACTACTGTCTCAAAGGATTCTGGGTAACCGGAGCTTCCACCAGGAGCTACACGGGGGTCTTTTTGCTAACTGCAGTGGCTTCCTGGTCCTAGCTCCTTCCTAGCTGCCTGTCAAATAGTAACCAAGGCGCCTGTGGAAGCACTTCCACTGTGACTTAAGTGTCTTAACCAGTTTGATCACTGGCGGCTGACCACTGGAGGGCGCTGGGGCACCCCCCAACCCAATGACCCTGATTAATACATAAAAAATTTAAAAAATAATTTTTTTTTGTAATTTGATTTAAAATTAAAATGTAAAATATTTTTAAACAAATTAATACATATTTTTTTAGATGTGCAAGATAAATATTTTATCTTTAATGACTAGTAAAGCATCATTTCATTTTTCGTCAGATTGGTGACGTATTACCGTCCTAGGCTGCAAAAATCTTTGCCCATTGACTGTCGTTAAAAGTTGTAAATGTGCAGCAGCTCCTCTGCAATGCAAACATGTAGGCTGGCCCAGCTAAGCTAGGAGGGCACCGCTAAGCTGCAACCTGAGGGGACAGGAAGTGTCTTTGCTCACCACCTCCCGCCACAGAACAGATGTTTTGCAGGTTATTGACAGGTCGAGTTGCAGGAGTTGGAGACGCATTGGAGAGAGAGAGAAATGTCCCCCCAAAAAAACGTCCTTTTAACCTTGTAGTGGGAAAAAAGTACTATTCACTCCAGTTATATAAGCGGAGATCGATAGTTTTCACTCAGACAGCACTTTATTTTTATCTTTTCAAAGAGAGATCAGTTCATCATACAGTCCTTATTGCACGGTAATCAGCCCTGTTCTGATCTGAGCAGCGTTCGTTCCTCCTTACTGACAATAATGGAAAGTAGTCAGAGTCAAAGCAAATTACACTTTGGTTAAACAGTAACATTATAACTAGGAAAAAGGGAAAACTAAATAAGTATTTTTTTCTTAACATAAGTAAATGTGTTCTTGGATTAAGGAGCTAAAACAGACATTTTGCCAATGGAACAGGACAATTTACACTTAAAATAAGAAAACACAATTGCGTTGTCTTATTTCAAGTGCATATTCTCTAATTATCTTATTTTAAGACTGAAAATACTAATTTCATTGGCAAAATATCTCATTTACCTACTCAAATTAAGGAAAAATACACTTAATTTAAGACATTTTTATTCATTTCTAGATCATTTTTCCAGTGTATGAATAAACCTGAGAAAGAATCTGGTTTGTAATGGGAAGAAGTCTGACTATAAACACCCTCAATCAGGAGCCTTGCAGGTGAAACAGATTCAGTGAAAACTTTTATAGTGAGTAAATAGCATAAAATAATATATGGAATAAGAGAAACTAAATTTCCGACCACAATCGCAAATTTACCTTTTTCAAACTTTTTGTTCCTTGTTTTTTTTTTTTATCGTTTGGTTTTAGAACCCCTTTGCAAAAATGATGGAACTACCAGCCTCTGAGAATGTTCATTCAGTTTTGTTTTGTTTTTGTAGAAATTAACATTTTGTTGTTTTTTGGTCCAGATTTTAGACACAGCTTATTGTGAATAACCAACAGCTTTTTTTTTTGCGTGATGATTTCCCCTCTTTTAGGAGTTTGATAATCCTCATCTTTGTTTGAAACTTCTCTGATGTTGGAGCCGTGATTCATGTCCGTCCACTTGGTGCAGCAGCTCTCCAATGTTTGATCGCTCCTTTTAATTAGCAGGTCAAATTTGATGCAGATGTTAGTTTAGGGGATGTGGATCCATCATTTTTCCCTCAAAACATTTTATTTCTGGATTTCTTTTAGTGTTTCTTAAAGCCAGACGGTTGCCATTTGAAATGACTTTAGTTTTGTTTAATGTGTGTGATCTGTTTTTTTCCTACTGAATGAGCATCCTCCAACGCTGCGGATTCCATCATTTTTGTCATGAGTTGTTTTCGATCAGATTCTGCTTAAAGTTTTCTGTTCCAATTCCTGAAATAATTCTTCTCTATAAATAACTGAGACTTTGCAGAAATGCAAATGGTTTCGTTTTTTATATTAAATCATTTTTTTAAGTTTTTATTTTGTAAAAAATTATGTAATTTGAACCTAAATGTTGGACCGTCCTTCCCTTCACTGATTGCAAACATGAGGTTCTGATTTCATATTTGCTTCTTGCAGGGATGGAGGATTGAAGAGAGGGAAGGTGAAGGATTCATTTAAAGAGGAGCAGCAGAAGATGTACAGCAGCATCATAGTGGGACAGAACGGCATGGCCGCCCCAGAACCAAGTATTCAGAGCGAAGCCGATCCACAATGATCTTCCTGTGAGGAACTTAGTTCAGCTTTCGCTTAGAACGGCCCCGCTTTCTGGATTAAATCAACCTTTTATCTTCATAGAGAGCTTCATGCAGTACTATCCATCCACCAGCAGGGAGCACTGTGTTATAACATTTCTCTCTGTTTTGCTCCCTGGACTGGCAGGGATATATGTGTCTGTTATTGATAGGGTCACCACAGCAATGGTGTTGGATGTGGTGAGAATCTTGTTTTTATGGAGCTTTAGAAACGGGATAGAAAATAATAAATCTGGTTTCTGAGACGATCAAGGAGCTCAAAGCTGCCCTTATATGGAGAAAGGTTTGGAGTTACATTTCGGACCAAGTGGAGCTTCATGCAGTTTAAGCGGAACCCCCCCGAACACAGGAAAACTGACCCGGTTCATCATGAGGACTGAAGCAGTTCGCCTGTGTTCTGCCTGTAGATCCGGTTTGGTTGGTTTCCTCAGGAATCAGACCAAGCTGCACAAATTTATGATGACATTTAAACACACATTCAGTCTTTTCTAAGCTCAAGCTTAGAATTAATTCTGAGCTGAATTAATATTAATGATCACTTTGATTATTTTTTGATAAATATTAGTTCAGTAGATATCACTGGAAAAATCAAATCTATAAGTCATTTTTTTCTTAAAATAAGTGAATTATTTCTTCCATTGAGGAGGACAGTGAGACACTTTGTCAATGGAACAAGACAATTTACATTTAACATAAGAAAAAACAACAATTACTTGGTCTTATTTTAAGTGCATATTATCTAATGATCTTATTTTGAGAGTTAAAATACTGATTCCATTGGCAAATCATATTTCTAGATGATTTTTGCAGTGATTAGAGATGTTTTATAAAGTGGGAGTGATGCTCAGGAACAGAAGCGGCCAGTGGCGTGCACAGAGATTATCAGGGACAGGGGGTCAGGTTGGACAAAGGGCACCTTCTACGTCACATGAAGCCGCTAACAGCCAAACGTCGCCTGATGCTGATGTTTAACGATCTTCTGAGGTCCTAACTGCAAAAAATTGAAAAACAAATAGGATATTTTTCTTAAAATAAGTGAATTCTTCCTTAAATTGAGGAGTTAAGTGATTCTCTTTGCCAATGGAACAAGAAAGTATACATTTAGAATAAGAAAATACAATTGCTTTGTCTTATTACAAGTGCTTATTATCTAATTACCTTATTTTAAGAATAAAAATATTCCTTCCATTGGCAGATCATCTTATTTACCTGCTCAGATTAAGGCTAAATACCCTTAACTTAATAAATATTGACTTATTTCTAGATGATTTTTGCAGTGTAGGTAGCAATGCTACACTGGTGTCCTTATTTGACCGCGTATATGAGACAATATGCAGATTAACTGAGATTTACAGTTAAAATATGAAAAAGGCAACAACTCTATTATCTTATTTCAAGTGCATAATATGTAATAATCTTATATTAATGTTAAAAACTCTCATTCCACTGACAGATCATCTTATTTATCTGAACCTAGTCTTTATCTTTGCACGCCCCTAACATGGAAATACACTTAAGATTCTTAAAATTTTTTATTATTAACAACAGTTTGTTCGAAAGCGTTAACATAAGTGTATTTCACCTTAATCTGAGCGGGTAAATAAGATGATTTGCCAATGGAATTAGTATTTTTACTCCTTTTTATTTAAAATGCAATAGTTTTTTTGTTATTTGAAATGTAAATTGTCTTCTTCCATTGGCAAAGTTCTTACTTCCCTCCTCAATTTAAGAAAAAATGCACTTATTTTAAGAAAAAATGCACTTATTTTAAGAAAAAATTCACTTATTTTAAGAAGAAATGCACTTATTTTCAGAAAAAATGCACTTATTTAAAAAAAAATTCACTTATTTTAAGAAGAATTGCACTTATTTTAAGAAGAAATGCACTTATTTTCAGAAATAATGCACTTATTTTAAGAAAAACTGCACTTATTTTAAGAAGAAATGCACTTATTTTAAGAAAAAATGTACTTATTTTAAGAAGAAATGCACTTATTTTAAGAAAAAATTTACTTATTTTAAGAAAATGTACTTGTTTTAAGAAAAAATGCACTTATTTTAAGAAAAATGCACTTATTTTAAGAAAATGTACTTATTTTAAAAAGAAATGCACTTATTTTAGGAAAAAATGTACTTATTTAAAGAAAAAATGCACTTATTTAGATTACATTTTTTTGCAGTGCCCTCAACTCTTTATTTCATCTGCTCTGCAGTTTCTTGACAGCAAAAAAAAAAAAAGATCTTAAAATGAGTCAAACTTTCTTAAAATAATCATATTTACATTTAATCTGAGTAGGTAAATAAATAAATTTGCCAAAGGAATTAGTATTATTACTCTTAAAACAAGATAATTGGATAATATACCCTTGAAATAAGACAATATTTCTTTTCTCATTTTAAATGTAAATTGTCTTGTTCCATTGGCAAAGTGTCTCACTTACCTCCTCAATTCAAGACAAAATGCACTTATTTTAAGAACACATGCTTTAGATTTGTTTGCAGTGGATTTCTTAGGTTCTCATCCATCAAACCTTAAAGCTGAATATGTTGTGAAGGAAAGGATTCTAAGTGAGGATGGAGCAAAGGCCCGTTTGCGGCTGAAGCCTCGGTGTCCTTGTGGGAAGGAGATGGCGGATGAGACGCGGATCAGAGTCTGCGGCGACATGTTTACTGTGACGGCGCTTTAATAAAGAAAGCAGAGAGTGTGAAATAGCACGGAGTTATTCTTCCACACACAGGCCGGCTTACGTCCCGCTGCCTCTCCTCCTCCTCCTGCCTAGAATAACAATCCCACCACTCAAATTGCTGGAACAGAAATGTTTGTTCTCTCCTAACAAGATTGTGAATTATTAATAGGATCTAAAGCTGGTTTTCTAACCCGATTGTTGAGGTGGGATTGTTGGCGAGCGATGCAGCGCCACACCATTTACTGTGATGTATGTGTCTGCACATCTTTATGTCCAATTTAATGCGATTCAGATAGATTTCAGGGGGACATCATAAAAGGCATTGGAGTGACCCCACGGTGGACTCCATACAACCGTCCCCTATGTCCCAATATGTTAACTCGATTTGGCTCACTTTTACTCTTCCCGCCGCCGATCCATACAAATGCAATGCAGGTACGCTAAGTAAATATGAATACATTTCCAAATTGAATCCAAGTGAGTGTAGTTTGCAGAGGACATCATTTTAAACGCTGCTGTGCTGGGAACTGAGCGCTCACAGAGTCAATGACTGAGGCTCTCTCTGAGGCTCGCCATTAGCTGGATCCTAATGTCTGTAAAGACATTGTTCTGCCATCTATCCTGTAATGAATGCGCTGCTGCAGCCGGCATGGAGGGATCGATAGCAGAGCTGGGATCTGCAGCTCCTCTGGATCAAATGTGGGTTTTAATCCCAGTTACTTCATCCGCTTGATCGTTTATTAACCAACAAACACCGGCTTTGGATGGGCGCCGTCGGTTGCAGTTTGGAGTTTGTGCCACTAGAGGGCCTAAAGCATAATCAGCTTTTAGACGGATATTAGAAGCCGGTCTGTAGTTTTATTTTATCTTCCATGGTATCAGCTAATGTGTTGGAGGACGACGGCATATTAGGGCCATTCAAAGACAGAAAAAAAATTGGAATTTATAAACACTCAAATTTGAGAGATTGTAAAAATGCAAATTTAGAAGGAAACAACTATCAAAATTTGCAAGACTAGACAGGGAAATTTATGAAAAAAGAAAATTTAGAAGAAAAAAATCCAAAAATGTACGACGAATGTTGATATAGTTATGACTGAAATGCGACTAAGACTAATGATAGTGTTTGTCCTGAAGACTAAGACTAAATCTAGGATGGCTGTCAACAACAAAACTTTACAAGATAATACATTTATTGTATTAATCATTTTTTAAAAACTTCCATGAGGCCATTGTAGCGTCTCGTTCCTTCGCTGAAGCCCTGAAATAATGATGCATTAGCATGTGCTTTATGTAGCATACTTTAAAGTGTATTTTACATACTTCAGATACTTCTTCTAAACTCTTAATCTCACATTGTTCCGCATGTTTAAATCTTGCATATCTGCTGCTATTTTCTCCTAAATTTGCGTGTTTCTTCTTATTAAAGGTATTGTGGAGGATTTTCAAGTTTTTTGAAAAGACCCGCCCTCTCCAATTTAAAACAAAATGCACATGCAGAACCCTGTACCTGAGAGGGAACACCTATCAAACTCTGTTTAAACGTGGCTGTTTTCATATCAAAACACCCTTTAGTCTGTCCGTCCGTCCTTAACCCCTAAATCCCTCCATCACTCTATAGATCGGGAACTAGATAGTGAACTTTATAGTGAACTCAGTTAACTGACCGTTCAGACAGAGAATCACTGCTTCTCCTTTGGTCGCGTAACTCCTCCTCCTCTGCGCCGTGCCTGCGCCATCTTTGTTATTAGATGCCGCTGTTGGGTAGCGACAGCCTATGGCGACAGCGGGCCACTGTGACAGCACACCCCATAATGCTTTGCGAGGAGATCTCTCCGTGCAAAGCATTCTGGGATATGTCTGCCTCTTCTGAGGCCTTTCTTTTCTTCACTTCGTAGACACTTTTTCTCTTCCGACCATCGGCCATTTTCAAAGAACCGCGGTGAGAAAGGTGAGCTTCAAAGACTGTCTGAAACCGTAGCTCACCACAGATATACGCCTGAAAGTGCGCAGAAAAACATAGCTAATGGGACGAGGATGTAGGACGGTGATATCACCAGAATGATTGACGGTTAGGAGGACCACTGATTGAGATGATCCACCCGGAAATAAAAGATCTTCCTTTATACCTTTAATTTGCTACATTTTGTCTTATATTTGTCTGTTTTAATCTCATACATTTGTGCATTTTTCCTCATAAATTTACCAATTTGAACTCAAAAGAGTAAATTCAAATATTTTTTTTGGTCTTTATTTGGCGGTAATAGGCGGTCGTAGTGGGAGCATCCATCTTACAGAAACACGCGTGTTGATTTTAAACTGTGTGTTTGAACAGGAAAATTTAAATTTTATTAAAAGAGCACTTTATCTAATGATCGTATTTTAGGGAGTAAAATAATCGGTACGCTGGCAGGAAGGGAACCAGTTTTACGGATGCCAGGTCAGACCAGGCAGGGAAGCCTGCAGCCAGCTCCTCCTGCTGCCATCAAGCTTCGATCAAATCAAAAGTTCTTGAAGAGGAATCCTGATTGATTTGTGGTTAAATTCCCGTTTTCTCCTCGTGAAGCATAATTATGCTCTGATTGGACGGCGGAGGGGCTCTGCTCCAATCCTCCTCCAGTTTGTTATCAGAGGAATCATCTCCAAACTGTTGTCTGGCTGTTAGTGGATGAGAAAGTGAAGGCAGATGAAAAATGTCCTGCGGCTCGGTACATGAAGGTGTGAAATTGCAGACTCCTCTTTGCCCTCAGCCCCGTGCCTCAGAAGCTATTTCTTCTTTTATTGACAGCAGGGCTGAATTTAAGCCTGATG